TGCAAACCATTATACATAGAAAGGATAAACAATAAATACTATACTGAATATCCAATTATAAACAATAATGGAAAAGAATATATGTGTGTATAATTGAGTCACTCTGCTGTACAGTGGATATTAACACAACATTGTAAATCAACTGTTCAGTTCAGTTCAGTCACTCAGTCATGTCTGATGCTTTGTGACCCCATGGACTGCATCATACCAGGCCTCCCTGTCCATCACCAACTCCTGGAGCTTACTCAAACTCATGTCCATTGAGTCGGTGATGCTATTCAACCATCTCATCCTCTATCGTCCCCTTCTCCTCCCGCTTTCAATCTTGCCCAGCATCAGGGTCTTTTCAAATGAGTCAGTTCTTCGCATCAGGTGGCCAAGTATTAGAGTTTCAGCTTCAGCATCAGTCCTTCCAATGAATATTCAGGACTGGTTTCCTTTAGGATGGACTGGTTGGATCTCCCTGCAGTCCAAGGAACTCTCAAGAGTCTTCTCCAACACCACAGTTCAAAAGCATCAGTTCTTCGGCGCTCAGCTTTCTTTATAGTCCAACTCTCACATCCATACTTGACCACTGGAAAAACCATAGCTTTGACTAGACAGACCTTTGTTGGCAAAGTAATGTCTCTGCTTTTTAATATGCTGTCTGGGTTGGTCATAGCTTTTCTTCCAAGGAGCAAGTGTTTATTTTCATGGCTGCAGTGAGTATCTGCAGTGTTTTTGGAGCCCCTCCCCCATCCCCGCCGCCAAAAAAACCCCAGTCTGTCACTGTTTTCACTGTTTCCCCATCTATTTGGCATGAAGTGATGGGACTGGATGCCATGATCTTAGTTTTCTGAATGTTGAGTTTTAAGTCAACTTTTTCACTCTCCTTTTTCACTTTCATCAAGAGGCTCTTTAGTTCTTCTTTGCTTTCTGCCATAAGGGTGGTGTCATCTGTGTATCTGATATTATTGATATTTCTCCTGGCAATCTTGATTCCAGCTTGTGCTTCATCCAGCCCACTGTTTCTCATGATGTACTCTGCATATAAGTTAAGTAAGCACAGTGACAGTATATGGCCTTGATGTACTCTTTCCCCGATTTAGAACCAATCTGTTGTTCCATGTCCAGTTCTAACTGATGCTTCTTGACCTGCATACAGATTTCTCAGGAGGCAGGTCAGATGATCTGGTATTCCCATCTTTTGAAGAATTTTCCAGTTTGTTGTGATCCACACAGTCAAAGGCTTTGGCATAGTTAATAAGGCAGAAGTATATGTTTTTCTGGAACTCTTGCTTTTTCAATGATCCAATGGCAATTTGATCTCTGGCTTCTCTGCCTTTTCTAAATCCAGCTTGAACACAGTTCACATAGTGATGAAGCCTGGCTTGGAGAATTTTGAGCATTACTTTGCTAGCATGTGAGATGAGTGCAATTGTGTGGTAGTCTGAGCATTCTTTGGCATTGCCTTTCTTTGGGATTGGAATGAAAACTGACCTTTTCCAGTCCTGTGGCCACTGCTGAGTTTTCCAAATTTGCTGGCATATTGAGTGCAGCACTTTCACAACATCATCTTTCAGGATTTGAAATAGCTCAACTGGAATTCCATCACCTCCACTAGCTTTGTTCCTAGTGATGCTTCCTAAGATCACATTCCTTGACTTCACATTCCAGGATGTCTGGCTCTAGGTGAGTGATCACACCATTGTAATTATCTGGGTCATGAAGATCTTTTTTGTATAGTTCTGCTGTGTATTCTTGCCACCTCTTCTTAATCTCTTCTGCTTCTGTTAGGTCCATACCATTTCTGTCCTTTATTGAACCCATCTTTGCATGAAATATTCCCTTGGTATCTCTAATTTTCTTGAAGATATCTCTAGTCTTTCCGATTCTATTGTGTTCCTCTATTTATTTGCGTTGATCAGTGCAGAAGGCTTTCCTATCTCTCCTATCTATTCTTTGTACTTCAATAACAGTTTTTTAAAAAAATCCTGCATATCAGTAGAACTGCCAGCATAAATATCAGGGTTATGGCACAGGGTGAGACATTTGAGACTGTTTCTTTGTTTGTATTGTGAACAATGAACTTGGGAAGATTGTTAGATGGTACATATTTATCCTAGTACTAGCATACTGTATCATCATCTAATAAATGACTGTTATTTATTATTTGCAGCTATCACAGTATTGTTTGGGGAGTGAAGGGTATGAGGAAGGTTGTCACAGGAGTGTGTGAAGATGAAGACATGCAGGGTAAAAAAAAATAAAGCACACACAGAGAACCCTTGACTCATTTATTTAAATAATCACTAAAGAATTGGAGAGAGTAAATGATAGTTAACTTGGAAAACATGTTAGAGTGTGTGTGAGGGGTACTGGGGAGAAAATTTCACTCCAGAATGCCACTAAGAGCCACTTGTCACCAGCATTGTCACTTGTGGTAAGAAAGAAATGTGCACCACCCAGGACCATCTGTGAGCTTCTCCATTTCTCTTTCATGCCTGATTGTCCAACACCCTCATTATTCTTACTAGCTTATTTCTTTTCCAACTCTCTCCTTTTCTGGGGCAACAGGTCAGGTGTGACTCAGAGTGCTGAGTATTCTACTGGGAACTTGTTCCGCTTCCGTGGAGAGGCTGGAAGGATGCTGGCATTCTGGGCAGTTCTGCTCACAGCCGCCTGGCCCCAGGAGCCCAGTGAGAGCCCCCGGCTCCCTTTTTGTGCCAGAAACCTGCCTTCTTGTGGGCTGAGGGGCAAGAACGCGAGGCTGCCTCTCTTGGCCACCACTTCATCGTTTGTAATCATCCCATTCCTGCCTGATGGGAAGGAAAATGCCATGTGAGGTTCCAAGCCCAAGTTCTTCTATCAGCCCTCCTGGGTTTAAATCTGCACTCCTCCACGATACCTTTGTGGGTGTGGGCTAGTTGTGTAACCTCCCTGCCCCAGTTGCTATCTGAGAAAATGATGGGAACAAAATGAGATAATCTGGGCACAAGGCAGAGCACAAGACTTGGCTTTCAGTAAATTATCTGTAAAAGTTAGTGTGAAATAGTGGCAGTAGCAATAGCATTAGCAGCAGTAAATAAAAAAAAGAAATAAAAAGGAGGTCTGGGTATTGGAGGAAGGTCCATCAGCACTGACTTCAAGGAATGGGGGTTACCAAACCACATGCGTGTATGTGTATATGCCCACCCATTCCCCTCGCGGCATACAGTCTTTGCTGGCCTAGGTTACCAGTGAAGAATGATGTTTGAGTCAATAGTTCTGCGAGCAGGGTGATATGTCAAATCTTTTAACAAATACATTATTGACTTACCTTATTTCAAAGACATAAATGTAGAACGAGGTCACTTAACCCTGAAGGCAGAAGTCAATAAATGGTTGATATTTTTTGAGTCCTGCTTTTGGTGTATACACATGAGGAATACCAGTTACTTAGCAGTTTGTAATTGATTCTGATCGTTTGGGGTGGCATTGACAGATGTGATTATCAAGTGGATCCCCTGGTCTTGGGGAAGTTGAAGTGTTTATATAACCGGAAAATTAGGCTGTGATCAAACAAATATTTTTATAAATGATTGTCACGCAGACATGTGGAGAGCTCGGGCCTGAGCTGGCCATGCTGTGGCCAGTCGGTCATTCTCTGGGAGGTGGCCTGACCTGCAGTGCTGAGCATGGCTTCAGGCAGTAGACATCTTCATTTGAAGAGTACCTTTCACCTTAGGAAGAGCCTGCATATAAATTATCTCCTTGTTGTAGCCTCAGCTCATATGCTCTTTTTCACAATGGGTCCCCTCTGAATGACAGGCATCACTGTAGTACCATGATGCCTGACCATGGTCATGACAGAGCCAGGTGGGGAAGGAGTTTTTCAAATACTACTATTTGAACAATACTACTAGTCCTTTCCTGTCCTGTGATGAGCCAAAGGGTGGTTTTCCAGCACAATCGAAAGTCCCGACAGAATAAACCTATTAATAGGGCAGGTTATAAAGAGCCACATTATTCAGTAAGTTTAAAGGTTGGTGCAGTTTCCTTAGTTTCTAAGGGAACATCCACTTGGGAATTCCACTTTACAAGAAAAATACACATGGTATTTTTAAAAACATTTATTTGTTTATTTTTGTCCGTGTTGGGTCTTTGCTACTAAAAGGGCTTTCTCTAGTTGCAGAAGCAGGGACACGCTCTAGTTGCCGTGCACAGGTTTCTCACTGCCGCGGCTTCTCTCGTTGCGGAGCGCAGGCTCTAGGGCACAAGGGCATCAGTAGCTGTAGAGGTGGATCAACAGTTGCATCACCAGGGCTCGAGGACAGGCTTGGTAGCTGTGGTGCTCGGGCTTAGTTGCTCCTTGGCACGTGAGAGACTTCCTGCATCAGGGATCGAACCCACGTCTCCTGCATTGCTGGGTGGATTCTCTACCCCTGAGCCACCAACGAAACCCCCACGCATTGTATTTTTATCTAGATCATTTCAGGATTTCTGTGAGATCATTTCAGAGGCAGACTCAGTTCTCTGAAGAACTGAGGCCTGACGTTGACATTTGATCTGTTACCCCGATTTGAAAAAATTCCTTTCCATTGGTAGGAAACCTTTTATTTAAAAAAAAAAAATTAGGACACAGTCCATTCCTTTTACCTAAAAGTGTTATGTGGTGAGTGCTTAACTTTCAGAAAGTTGGAATTTAGATTTATTCAAAAATATTATTAGGATACCCTATAGGATATCCTGGAATATTGTGCTAGATACCACAAAGCTTCTCAATGCCCTTTGCTGAAGTGCATCTGAACCTCCTGCTTTTGTGGGAGGTTAATCTCTGGGTTCTGATTCCACGTTGAATGTACTCCCAGCTTGAGCTCCATTTCTGTTCAGTCAATACTTTGAGTCATGCTGAACTTCAAGACCAAATCCAGTGGATAAGTTTCTCACTGGATGCATGGAGGGTAAGTTTCAGATCATTGAAAATATACCACACTAACTTTGTCTCCATGACAGTCTCAATTTTGTATGTGTTCCCACAGGAGAGGAGGACACAGAACTGTCAGGAGACGTGCCCCTAGGCACGGAAGGCCTCGATGAAGAGTCAGCGGTTCTAAGCACACCTGCTGCAGTGACCACAGAAGCTTACATCACCAGTATAAATTCTACCCTTATTGAGGAAGATACAGACCAGTTAGAGTTTATATTAATGGTGTTGATCCCAGTGATTTTACTGTCTGTCCTACTTCTATCAGCAATAGTCCTTGTAATATACCATAAAAGAAAAAGGAATAAACAAGGTAAAAATTTTGCCTATTCTCATTTCTAGACAACTGCTCCATGTGTTCATGAATAACTGATAAAACACAATACTTTTTGCTTCCACACAGAGCCCTCTAGCCAAGGATCTCAGAGTGTTTTACAGACACGTGAGTATTATTCCAATACCTGCCTGGAGATGGGATGGGGTGGGAAAAGAAACTGAGACTTTTTAAGTGAAGCAACTACATAAAATAATGAGTGATGACTTGTTTCAGTGACATTTTCCAGAGTTTAGAAATGTCATATTCCTTTCTATTTAAAAAAAAGAAAGAGAGAATGCCTTCAGCCTAAAGTGAAAATTGAAATACATAGCTTCCATCTCTGTATCTAACCTGGATGAGGGCCTTGTGTAATTTGGGCCGGTACTGGTCAGTGTACCCAGTTGTGGATGTGACTGGTGATAGAAGCAAAGTCTGATGCTATAAAGAGCAATAGTGCACAGGAACCTGGAATGTTAGGTCCATGAATCAAGGCAAATTGGAAGTGGTCAAACAGGAGATGGCTAGAATGAACGCTGACATTTTAGGAATCAGCGAACTAAAATGGACTGGAATGTGTGTATTTAACTCAGATGACCATTATATATACTACTGTGGGCAGGAATCCCTTAGAAGAAAGGGAGTAGCCATCATAGTCAACAAAATAGTCTGAAATGCAGTACTTGGATGCAGTTTCAAAAACGACAGAATGATCTCTGTTCATTTCCAAGGCAAACCATTCAATATCACAGTAATCCAAGCCTATGCCCCGACCAGTAATGCTGAAGACACTGAGGTGGAACAGTCCTATGAAGACCTACAAGACCTTCTAGAGCTAACACCCCCAAAACATGTCCTTTTCATTAAAGGGGACTGGAATGCAAAAGTAGGATGTCAAGAAACACCTGGAGTAACAGGCAAATTTGGCCTTGGAGTACAGAATGAAGCAGGGCAAAGGCTAATAGAGTTTTGCCAAGAGAATGCACTGGCCATGGCCAACACCCTTCTCCAACAACACAAGAGAAGACTCTACATGTGGACATCACCAGATGGCCAACACCGAAATCAGATTGATTATATTTTTTGCAGCCAAAGATGGAGAAGCTCTATACAGTCAGCAAAAACAAGACCGGGAGCTGGCTGTGGCTCAGATCATGAACTCCTTACTGCAAAATTCAGACTTAAATTGAAGAAAGTAGGGAAAACCACTAGACCATTCAGGTATGACCTAAATCAAATCCCTTACGATTATACAGTGGAAGTGAGAAATAGATTGAAGGGATTAGATCTGATAGAGTGCCTGAAGAACTATGGACGGAGGTTCATGACATTGTACAGGAGACAGGGATCAAGACCATCCCCAAGAAAAAGAAATGCAAAAAAGCAAAATGGCTGTCTGAGGAGGCCTTACAAATAGCTGTGAAAAGAAGTGAAAAGCAAAGGAGAAATGGAAACATATACCCATTTGAATGCAGAGTTCCAAAGAATAGCATGGAGAGATAAGAAAGCCTTCCTCAGTGATCAGTGCAAAGAAATAGAGGAAAACAATAGAATGAGAAAGATGAGAGATCTTGTCAAGAAAATTAGAGATACCAAGGGAATATTTCATGCAAAGATGGGCTCAATAAAGGACAGAAATGGTATGGACCTAACAGAAGCAGAAGATATTAAGAAGAGGTGGCAAGAATACACAGGAGAACTATACAAAAAAGATCTTCATGACCCAGATAACCACAATGGTGTGATCACTCACCTAGAGTGCCAGACATCCTGAAATGTGAAGTCAAGTGGGCCTCAGGAAGCATCACTAGGAACAAAGCTAGTGGAGGTGATGGAATTCCAGTTGAGCTATTTCAAATCCTGAAAGATGATGCTGTGAAAGTGCTGCACTCAATATGCCAGCAAATTTGGAAAACTCAGCAGTGGCCATAGGACTGGAAAAGGTCAGTTTTCATTCCAATCCCAAAGAAAGACAATGCCAAAGAATGTTCAAACTACCGCCCCATTGCACTCATCTCACATGCTAGTAAAGTAATGCTCAAAATTCTCCAAGCCAGGCTTCAACAGTACATGAACTGTGAACTTCCAGCTGTTCAACCTGGATTTAGAAAAGGCAGAGGAATCAGAGGTCAAATTGCCAACATCCACTGGATCATCAAAAAAGCAAGAGAGTTCCAGAAAAACATCTACTTCTGCTTTATTGACTATGCCAAAGCCTTTGACTGTGTGGATCATTACAAACTGTGGAATATTCTTACAGAGATGGGAAAACCAGATCACCTGACCTGCCTCTTGAGATATCTATATGTAGGTCAGGAAGCAGCAGTTAGAACTGGGCATGGAACAACAGACTGGTTCCAAATAGGGAAAGGAGTACGTCAAGGCTGTATATTGTCACCCTGCTTATTTAACTTACATGCAGCGTACATCATGAGAAACAGTGGGCTGGATGAAGCACAAGCTAGAATCAAGATTACCATGAGAAATATCAATAACGTCAGATACACAGATGATACCACCCTTATGGCAGAAAGCAAAGAAGAACTAAAGAGCCTCTTGATGAAAGTAAAAGAGTAGAGTAAAAAAGCTGGCTTAAAGCTCAACATTCAGAAAACTAAGATCATGGCATCCAGTCCCATCACTTCATGCCAAATAGATGGGGAAACAGTGGAAACAGTGACAGTTTTATTTTTGGGGGCTCCAAAATCACTGTAGATGGTGACTGCAGCCATGAAATTAAAAAACACTTGCTCCAAGGAAGAAAAACTATGACCAACCTAGACAGCATATTAAAAAGCAGAGCCATCACTTTGCCAACAAAGGTCTGTCTAGTCAAAGCTATGGTTTTTCCAGTGGTCAAGTATGGATGTGAGAGTTGGACTATAAAGAAAGCTGAGCGCCGAAGAATTGATGCTTTTGAACTGTGGTGTTGGAGAAAACTCTTTGAGAGTCTCTTGGACTGCAGGGAGACCCAACCAGTCCATCCTAAAGGAAATCAGTCCTGAATATTCATTGGAAGGACTGATGCTGAAGCTGACACTCCAATACTTTGGCCAGCTGATGCGAGCAACTGACTCATTGCAAAGGACCCTGATGCTGGGCAAGATTGAAGGTGGGAGGAGAAGGGGACTGCAGAGGATGAGATGGTTGGATGGCATCACGGACTTAATAGACATGAGTTTGCGTAAACTCTGGGAGTTGGTGATGGACAGGGAGGCCTAGGGTGCTGCAGTCCATGGGGTCTTAAAGAGTCGGACACGACTGAGCGACTGAACTGAACTGAACTGAACTGGTCAGTGTAACACTTTCTGACCTTTGGAGGAGCCAGTCGGGCTGGTGAAGCCGTGGGTTAGATGGGGGCATGGCCGCGAGGCTGGAGTCCTTGAGTCATCCCCACGAGAAGAGGATTCTTCCATTTGTGATTGTCATAGGTGCTGTTTTCTCCACCATGCCACACACCCATTTGATCCTGAAAAGCCCTGGGTATAAGCATGGTTCTTATTCCTATGAAAGCTATGCTAACTTTTAAAATGAAATTCCTAAGCAGCTAAAGATGTAAATAGTAAACCAATAGTAAAATAGTAAACCATCAGTAGTAAACCAATCTCATAGATCATTCCCTGGGTCAGTGATACACTCTGAGAGGATTCACTTCTAATGCCAGGACTATCAAATACAAGGTTTGGGGATGGTTCTGGGTCCAAAGCCAACTTGGATTCTTTTTGCTTATGCTGCTAAAATTGACTCCTATTAGATTTTCAAGTTGAAGCCTTTAGGCATTCCAAAAATCACTCAAGAGTGATAGGATATATATTTATATATGCATACAAAACTCACTTTTTGTCTTTCACATCCACTAACAGGGGACCCTGGGCTTTGAGGGCATGCCTTAGGCCTGTGGGTCCCTACACTATCCTTGTACCAGGAGAAGCTTTAAGCTCTTGCAGAGCTGTAAATGGTCATTTTCCCTTATGCCAGCAGGTGACTTAGCAGCAGCAGCAGCAGCAGGACAAACGTGAACTGGGAAGGAAGCACTGAAGTGCATTACCTTTCATGGCGAGGGCTGATGTAATAGATTCCAAGAAAGTAGGAATTACACTTTTCTCCACTGCTTGCAATTTCAGGGTGACCTAATAACAGCGATCACGTGGGAGCTCTTTTGTAAGCCAGAGGAAAAGAAAAGGCAAACAGAGATGCCTGGATCTTTTTTTTTGCAAAGTCCAGTGGCTAAGACTCCGTGCTCTCAACGCACGGGGCCCTGGTTCGATCCCTGGTCAGGGAATTAGAGCCCCACGCTGTAACTAAGACCCAGCACAGCCAAATAAAAACAAAACAAAAAATAGAGTAGGGAAAGTAGAATTTCCTGCCCAAACCGTAGGCTACAGCTGGTCTTACCTAGCAGAGTCCTGGGGTCGGGAGAGTTTGGGTTGACTAGTCAAATGATCATGCTCTAAGGCACTAGATCCAGAAAGGGATTTTTCACTGAACTCCATTTCGAGACTCTCAAGACTCAGAAGCTGCTCCCCAGTGAGCACTGACCTCGGACAGGGTCCAGGCGTGTGTGCTGCTCCCTCCCGAAGGCCTCCGTACCTGGTTGATGCTGCGTCTTCTGTCTGGAATTTCCTTCTTGGCTGCTTGGCAGACTGCCACCCCATTCTACAACGTGCAATTCTTAGGTTTTTATGAAGAGCTGAGTAATCAGACCCCAGGCAAAATTAATCACCACCTCTCAACTGTGTTCACACTTACTGTGCACAGTCGTGAATCCTGTCATCAGTTGGTGACTTGCCTTTTTTTGGGTCTCTCTTTCTTACTAGGCGATGTTCTCTTTAAGGTCCAAAAGAATCAGGAACTTGTCTTATTCATCTTGTGGAATAGTGTGGCAGGAAGGTTATAGGGACAGATTCTGGAATACTCGGCTTAATTGGCTTTTCTCTCTCCTAGTTTTATAACCTCTGGTTCAGTTTCCTCATCTGTTAAACGGGCAAAACTCAGTACCATAGAGTTGTTGTATCATAGAGTATCATAGAGTTGTTGGGAGAATTAAGTGGATTCATCTATGTAAAGCACTTAGGAAAAAAACAGTACCCGGCATATTATAAGTGGAAACTAATTATTTTCACCCCTTTATCTCACAGAGTGCCTTGCCCAACACATTACTAGCTGCTCAATAAATGTGTATTGCAGAGATGAGTTGATGAAAGAATGTGAGAACTTTTTTTTAGAGAACACATTGTCAGAGGTAAAAGTAAATTTGCACATTATTCTTAACACAAATTGGCACCTTGTTTTTACTTTAAATGTGCCTCCCCTTAAGAAACCACAAATGGAAATCTTAGAATTTCAAAGCAGTTGCTTATCACCAAAGTTCTAGGTCAAGAGAGCTGTATTTGAATATTTTCTTTTACTCACCATTCCTTTAACATAGATACAGATGGTTAACGATGACTGTCTTTTCAGACAGCTGAAAATTTCACTAACATTGCCCACCAAAATCCACCCGTTCATATTTAACATTATAATACAAGGCAGTAAAAGGAGACTATTTAAATGAACAGAATTTGATTTAAATGCATTTTTTATTTATCTTTCCAGGAAAAATAAAACTGTCCTACTGGGTCAAAGCACTGTTTGGTGGCAGGTCATAGCGGATGTCTGTGTTAGGCATAGTCACATTGTCTCCTTCCTTTCTGACTGCAGCCTGATGTATTCTTATGCACCAAGAAATGTCTTGAAATTTGACAGCTGGGGAGCATTTGGCCAACATTTTTGGAAAGAACAGGTCACCTGCAGGGGAATTACCCTTGTTTCTTTGGCCCCGCCTGTTCCGTGTCCAGGAAAAGGGAAGGCTATGGAGTGACTCGATGTGGAGTGGCCCTTCTCCCCAGACGCGCAGGCATTAGATCTGCAGTTGTTATTATTTAATATTTATTAGGTGTCTTGATGGGCTGCCTCTCTGGGAAAGAGCTGCAGGGGAAACAGCTGGCAGTAAAGCGGCGCTTTAAACAGGCTGTGACTCCAGGACACCTGGCTCGGCTCAGTCTGCAGAAAGACACTCGCGTGGAGCGCGGAAAGCAGATAAGCAAGACGGCCTCCTGCTGCGCTGCGGCCCGCGGCCCCACCCTGCGCCGCTCCGTCGGGCGCTCGGGGAGAGGAGCCGGGAGGGGCCCCGGGGGCTGAGCGGCGTCCCGTGGGACCCGACGGAGGAGGACAGGAAATGGCGGGGCTGTAGGAGGCAAAGTGGAATCCAGGGCAGGTGGGGGGCTGGCTGTGTGAGCGCCTCGGGGCGCACAGGCAGTAGGTGGCTGCTGATAAAGAGACGAGGCCCGTGCAGTGGGGCGGGCAGGGCCTGACTGCGGGACGGCTAACTGGTCTCCCTCCCGGTTTAATGCTCTGCTCCGGGGCGCCCTCCCAGATGCTTTCGCGTTGCCATGGCGGCCGGGGCAGGGGTAATGGCCGAGGAGCAGGGCAGACGAAGCCACAGGAGGCTTTTTGCTCTGTTTGAATACTGATTACAGGAGCTTCGCACTCGTGCATCTGGAGCACTTTTGTAATGAGTTTTTAAACTTTTCCATCATCTGCACGCAAGTCTAGCTCCAGCTCACAGCGAAGCCTGCAGGCACCCAGATTAGAAAGATAAATCCACCCCCTCAAGAGTCGGGCTGTTGGGCCATTTGTTCTGAAAGAAATTAGTAAGGGGCTATTAAGCAGAGAAAGAGGGAGAGCAGGGAGGCCGTAGTGACAAAATAGGGGCATTTTTGTGGGTCACCTGTAAAGCAGGTTCGGTTGTACAGGAGCTTTATTTATAGTAAAATCCTTTAAGAAAAGAGCCTGTGAGTGTTAGATGAAAACTGCATGTATATAAAAATAAGGTGAACATCCCTCCCTTTGCCAGAGGAGTCGGGTGTCTGCAGGGAGATTCAGATACTTGCCCAAGGGTGGGAGGACACAAGCTACAGGCCCTCGAAGGGCAGCAGTGATGGCGTGAAACTGGCAACCGTGCCCAGCTTCCCAGGGTTAGTGGTACCATTAAAGCCTGCCAACCCACAGGAAATTACAGCGGCTCCTGGCTGCCAGGAGCTCAGTTCCAGGTGTCTGCTGGTTGTGCTCCCTCGCTGGGGCCTCCCCTCTGCCCCCCAGACAAAGGAGGCCTCTGATAGCTGAGAATCATGACCCTCTGAGTCTTCAGTGGATCTCTGTAAGGCACTGTGCTTCTTGGTGGTTCTTCACATCATAGGAGGCACGCTGGGGCTGTGCTGTCCACTCACTGGCCATCATTGCCTCGTTTCTCTGGGTGCCTCTGTCCCCCTGCCAAGCAAAAGAGAGGTTGACCTAGGGCACTTGGCTCTAATGCCTGCCACATGTCCATCTGGAATCTGATCCGCATCCAAGCCATTTTGCAGACTGTCACCTGACGCATGTCAACTAAAGCAACCAAAAGCAAGCCTGTTGGAAGTTTCACTATTATGAGATGCTAAATCCAAAACATTGGGCACGAATTTAAACCCAGCGTTGGACAATCCAGATGAAGACCTGTTCGTTTATTCAATTCATATGGGGTGTTTGTCGGGTACGGTGCAAGCTGGATGAGGGGGGATGTCACAATGAACAAGGCAAACATGATCCCGCCCTTTGGGGAGCTACGGTCTAGTGGGAGAGACAGACAATGAAGAGTTAACCAGAGAACCGGATTGACGGCAGACGTGGCAGACACTGTGAAGGTGCAAAGAGAAGCTGAGCTTTCAGAGATGGGCCCTGTCTCAGACAGAGGAGATGGGGGAGGCCTCTCTGAGGAAAGCCGATATAACGGGGCAAAGGACTCTTATGTCTGCCTTACGGGAAGCCAGGCTCTGACAGTGGGAGTCTGTGGCAAAGGAAGGGTTTATTACAGGTTGCCATGAAAGTGGGCAGGAGAGAAGTCTCAGATCCACTCCAACTTGGTGGTTGAGTTTGGGGTGTTTTTAAAGGAGAAGAACAAAGAGGCTGCAAGTAATCATCAACTGTGACATTTCTTAATCATGATTTTGGGAGTCAGGATGTCTCTGGTTTACGATTCTCTGGCCAGGCGGGCCATGGCTGGGGGTCCGTGAGCTTCTCTTGTCCTGGAGAGACAACCTGAGTTTGTGCTTTAGTGATGACATCTACACAGCCATTTTAGTCATTGGACTGGTTGATTAATGTTCAGTTAGCCCAGGATTGAGGTCAGAGGGAACAAGAAAGGGAGAGAGGTTAGTCAACTGGCAGGGGTCCTTCTGTCTTAGGGGGTTGGTTTCATTGAGACCAGAAGGCTGTGGGGGGTACAGCCATACAAAGAGCAGGGGTGAGAGGAGGGTCCTGAGGGGAGCCTGGGAGGGATGCCCCACGTCCTACTCCGTGACAAGGGACAGGGCCACAGAGTTCAGTTTGCTGTGTCACAAGGAGATCTAAAAGAAAGATTTCACATAGACGGGACCTCATTTCACAATGGCAATCTGCCCTTGATTGACGTAGAAGTTAACGTAGCCCCTTTCAAGACGTAATCTCTTGGAAGTCATTTCCCCTCTTTGTAGAGGAGATTTCAGCTGATGTGGAAATAAAATGTTCTTACACATACTGAACACTAACATGACTTTTATATTTTCTGTCTTTTAGATGAACTGGGAAGTGAAAACGTGAAAGTGTAAGTCCCCCCCCACCCCCAACCCGTGTCCAGTTCAGCTTTGGGGTGGACCAGGATGTTGGTGGAGGGCGGGGTGGTGGTGAGCAGATCAAAGGGCCAGATTTTCAAGAGTTCTGGTTTTGACAGCCCTGGCAGGGCCCTTCTGCTTCCCTAACCCCAAGAGAATGTGCTGGAGTCCCCACACCTCACCACAGGCCAGGGGATCTGACAGGGGAGAAGGTCCTCTGTTCAGAAAAGAACCTTTTTCTGACGGCTGTCAATTCCAAATGCATCGATAATTGAGTATTCTGACCCTGGGTGTATTTCAAGGACTTCAGTTCATTTATTCTGATTAAAAAATTTATCACCAGGGAAGAGATTTTAGTTGGTATTAAAGGAGGGGAACCCTAGTGGAAGCCCAGAGTTTGTATGGTGAGAAGATCCTGGTGGGGAGTGGGGCAGGAAGAGAAACGGAGATGGCAGGAGGGAATGGGGAGAGCGGATTCCGCCTGGAGGGGTGGCCTGGGGTGCGGTCACCATCGTCTCTGCCCTGTTTGTTTGGACCCTAGGCTGGCTTCCTTCGCAGGGTGGCAGCCAGTGGATCAGAACAGGTGGGCCCCTCCCCCAATCCTACCTACATTAACTGGGAACTCTTCCCTCCCCAGGGAGAGCTGAAGCCCAGCCAGGGAGGGCCCTGGATTTCTGAGCACAAGGGCTCCATTTCTTCCAGGCAGGAAAGCCTGGAAATGGAAGGGCGAGGTGGTGAAAGTGGCCCGTCAATCAGCCTCCTGACCTGGAGCGCTGATCAAAAACCCCCAAAGATAGGGAAGTGAAATTGAGCAAGGCTGAAATGCTAAATGTGGCAGCTTCCTGGAGGAGCCTTAGACTCATCTCAGTACCTTGGGGGGAGTCAACTCTCCTGTGCTTCCTCTCAGCCCATCATCAGTAATGGACGAAGGTTTATTTTTGGTTTTGCTTTTTTTCCTGTTAGAGTTTGGTCCTCTTGAATAGAGCAAACTCCTAGATTACCCTGGAGCATAAGACACTGAATCAAGTTCACCTTCCTCATAGTCAATAGCCTACGCTGTCCTCAAACAAAATTTAGCACATCACAAAACCTGTTGGTTTTGTGTTTTGTTCTGTTTTTCCAACAAGCTCTTGACTTTCTCTCTCTAGCCCTATTTTTGAGGAAGACACACCCTCTGTGATGGAAATAGAAATGGAAGAGCTTGATAAGTGGATGAACAGCATGAATCGAAGTGGTATGTGGTGTGGAATAACTGAAGGTGGCTTTCTCTGTGCTCTCTGCTAAGAGAAGGCTGCCCCCTCTTCATAACTATGCCATTGGATCCTGGGTGGGACCCTGGGAGCCCACCTACCTTTCTTCCAGCACATGCAGGGAGTTAACTGGGGCCTGACCATCCTTAAATATATAGTTTAATTATTGCATAAGTTGTTGCCACTTATTTGTATTTTTGCGCACTTTTTCAAATGGACTTTTTTAAGAAGAAAATGGACTCTTTTATTTTCAAGTGAGGAAATCTCTTGAGACCAAACTCTCTGGAAAAAGTTAGCATCCAGCATTACCCGAAGTATTATAGAATTTAGAGATCTGTGATTTTAATGTGTGCATAGATGTAAAACTTTACCAAATATAGTTTACATAGATCTGCGCTAATAGGCACTAGCCATCTATGTCTATTTAACTTAAAATTTTAAAAACTAAATAAAAGTTTAAAACTTCATACCTTAGTCACTGCAGCCACCTGTGGCTAATGGCTATTATATCAGACTGTGCAAATCTAGAACACTCCCTTCATTGTAGAAAGTGCTATTGGATTGTGCTAGCAGAGATGGTAATATGAATATCCCACTATAACTTAATTTCCAGTTGATATCTGACAGTAATTGTAGTGTATGTTCCTTGCTGATGGTGGTTTAGTGCTAAATCATGTCCGACTCTTGCAACCCCATGGACTGTAGCCCACCAGGCTCCTCTGTACGTGGGATTTCCCAGGCAAGAATACTGGAGTCGGTAGCCATTTTCTTTGCCAGAAGATCTTCCAGACCCAGGGATTGAACCCTGGTCTCCTGCATTGCAGGCAGATTCTTTACGACTGAGCCACCAAGGAAGCCCATACATTCCTTACTTTTCATTAAATCAATATTTGGACTTAAAAATGATGACAGCTGTTTTTTTTTCTTCTATTTTTAATTTCTCTAAAAAATCAATAAATTATCTTAATGCTCTTGTTAAGTTAATACAATCCACTATTTATATTATCAAACCACTTTTTTTTAAACATTTATCTAAAAAACAAAAACAAAAAACAACCTAGGGATCTATCAGATTCAACAGTCTACAATGGAGTTCTCAAAACCAGACACTTGTTATCAGAATTTTTGTACCAGAGGCTTATTAAGATGAACTTTCCAAAAGATGAAAACTACTTAACTAACATGGACAATTTGGGGGAAGAGTGGCTTGGTAAAGCATTTGAGCGTAGGGGTGAGTCACTGAGATAATCCTTAAAGTAGTTTCCTTTTGTGGCTTTTAGTTTATAAAAATAATCTACATACACAGCAGAATTTGGAAAATGCAAAAAAAAAAAAGAAGGTAGAATGAAGAAAAAATTTCTACCACCCAGAGATAATCTCAATATTTTGGTATATTTCCTTTTTTGTGACTGAGATAATTGCAATACAAGTCATGGTCCTGTTACAATCACTAAAACCATTTCCATTTGACAACTAAAGAAGAGAGTTGTTTCGACCCATTGAAATAGATCCAGCAGATTTCCCTCCCTTGAAAACAGCAGACATGTAACGGGAGAAAATTCTGGCTTTAAGAAGGTCGGTTGTTCCCCGCTTTACCTGCTTCTTGCTCCCAACTGAAATCATTCTGCAGGCACAGCAGAAGGTCGGTGAAGCTGTTTTATTCCAGCGTCTACCCTGAACTGTGCAGATTCTAGTCTTTGGAGCCCCTGGGGGTTGTTCAGCGGCTGAACAACCAAGCAGTGATGAATTGTGCCCTTTGCCGCTGGGGCCAGAGACATGCTGAAGTCTTGCATCTGCACCATTAGTGCTTTTTCCATTTCAAGAGCCTTGCCGTGATTAATCTTTTAACCTCTGAAATTCCCTGGTGAGGCTGTTTCTGCACAAGTAACGGATCAGAGAGATATGATGTTCAACGGCATAAGTCTTGTGGATAAAAAGTAGAATTTCAGTGACTAATAATGAGCCTGGTTTTCTTCTGTCCTAGCTGACTATGAATGTTTACCTACTTTAGAGGAAGAAAAGGAACCAAACCACAACAACCCAAGGTACTTCTCGTTTCTACCATGGATTCTATGTGAGTGGGGGAGGGGGGTTGGAGGCCACAGTTGAGGACTTTCACTCACCTTCTCTGCCTATAAATTTTATGTGACCATTTTCATGGGCGTACATTGGTGTCTTGTGGAGAAATGGAAGTGTGAGTTATGGAAAATAGAAAAGTACAAAGTAAATATCTTAGTGATTCTTTGTTTTTAGAAATAAATTAGTACTTATGTTTTCTTGCCCTTCTAAAGAGACACTGTTGAGTAGGCTTCTGTTTTAGCTCTAAAAGTTTCCGGTTATAACAAACTGTAGGTTTGTTTATCTTGGATGAATAGATGTTTGGTCAGGAAAACAGATGGAGGTGACAATCTCAACAGGATAACTGAACAAGAGTGAGTAAAAATGAACATATAACAAACAAAAGAGAAGAAAACCCCACTTAGGTTGGATTGTTCTTGGTGTTAGTGGTTCAGTCATGTCCAACTCTTTGTGACCCCACGGACTGGAGTCCCCCAGGCTCCTCTCTCCTTGGGATTCTCCAGGTAAGAATCCTGGAGTGAGTTGCTATTCCCTCCTTCAAGGGATCTTCCCAGCCCAGGGATCAAACCCGTGTCTCCCACATTGCAGGCGGATTCTTTACCATCTGAGCCACCAGGGGAGAGAAATTAAATGAGAATTTAAAAACTCCAATACTTTGGCCACCTGTTGCAAAGAACTGACTCACTGGAAAAGACCCTGATGCTGGGAAAGATGGAAGGCGGGAGGAGAAGGGGACGACAGAGGATGAGATGGTTGGATGGCATCACCGACTCAATGGACACGAGTCTAAGTAACTCCGGGTGTTGGTGATGGACAGGGAAGCCTGGCGTGCTGCCGTCCATGGGGTCACAAAGAGTCAAACAATACTGAGCGACTGAACTGACCTGAACTGAAAAAAACCAAAAAAACCCCACATATTCTGTTCTACCACTAGGTGGCTCTGCTCGATAGAAAATTTTAGTGCACCAGGGCAGGCATGTTCTTCAGCCCTGCACAATTTTGTTTAAATTATATTCTCTTTTGTGAGGATAGAAATGACCATGTTTGGGTGTTTTTGATCAGAGAATTCTCAGTCAGGACTTGGGACGTGCTGGTAGGAAATAGGATTGATGATTCAGCAAGTCAGGGACTCATTCTGTGGAGCAGGGCTGTGGTTCGGTGGGGCGGGGGCGCTGAATTGTCGATGGGGTGACTCTCAGATGACCAGTGAGCGGCGAACTGGACTGAGCCCGTAACTGAGATGTCACACTTCCATAAGAATAAATTTTCAAAGCAGCATAAATACCCACCCCCTCTCCCTCCAGGTTAACCAGAGGGCCTACACTAGTCACCTTAATTGTGTCCAGAGTGTAGTCACTTTTCATAAGAAGCTCCTGAAGCCGGCATGTAGCAGGGAAAGACTGGTTACTAGACAGTGACTGAGGCAGTCAGATGTTTGTCTGACTTGTTCTGCTGCTTCTGCTAAACCTTGCCTGAGAAATCAGGCCACCACAGTCTTACTGGGCCAAACCTCCGCTCTGATGCAGAATCTACATCTTATTGTAGATGTCAGTCATTGTTACCTCTGTAGGTGCTTGCATATTACAACTCATCACTGGTTCAGGAAAGAGTCTGTCCTATTTAAATGAGTTATCAGACATTAACAAGCAGATAAAAGAAAATATGCTAGCGAGATTATCACAAAGCACATTACCAAGAAATCTTTTCCTTGCATTTTTACCTAAAATGAACATCTTTGTGTGTCCAGCATGGGGCTCAGATCACCATTAAACGCCTGTAAGTATCTTATTATTGAATCTCTGATGGGCACCCTCTAAAGATGTGAAATGTCATTGGTTTTTATATACCTGGCTCTTGTTCTTTGAAATTATTGGCAACATAGGAGAGGCTTAATGTTAGAAATTATATGATGGTAAAAACTTTTTAGAAGTCACACTTCCTTGAAATATTGAGAGGCTGGTCTCTGAAATAAGTTCTACCACATTTCACCTGTAAGGCAAAAAGCCTTAACCTATTTGGAGAGCTGGTTTATACTCAATTATTGTTTTTAAAGGGAATGTCTACATTCCTCTGTTGGTCCAGAGCTTTCTGTTTTAATTCACAAGACAGCTCTCAGGCCATCACTTTATTCTTTCTTGATGAAACCAGGCCCAGAGTTATAGAACCGAAAGTGGCAAGTCCCCAGTCTTTGGAGTTGGAGACACTGTCTGATTACTCCAAAGGGTATCTTGATATTGCAAAGCAAATTTAGTTTTTATTCACTAAAACTCTTAAGAGTACAAAGCACTTAGAACAAATCTTGGTACAAAATTAGCTCTTAGTTAATATTATTTTTAATTATTATTAAAAAGTTAGAACTGATGTACATAAACTCACTGCCTTCTGGGTTAATGCGCCTGTGTCCCAAGGCCGAGGCTCATCCACTACATGAAGCATTATTTTTCCCCCTGGTCTCCCTGGGGACTTCTTTTTGGAGCTTGCCAATTCTGAGAAATCATGAATTTGTTTAATTCCCTAGGAATGATCTGGAGACTTTTAAGTTCCCCATCCACTATCAGCATAGGTTCCATTGATGTTGATGATTTCAGAATAGCCATTTTAGAAGTTTGGAGGGTCTGAAAGGGTACATAGTGTGGATTATCTCACAGTTTGTATAATCTTTCTTTCCCATCATGATTTTATTTACATCTCTCTTTTTTAATTGCTTTCATTACATTGATAATTGAGGAAACATTTATTTGGAATATCTAATCCAGGACAGAAGGAAGGTCCTTTTTTCTCTGACAGCTTGTGAATCTTTAGAGATGTAGTGGCAACTGCATTGGTCTTTGGGCTTAGAATCAGATGGCTGGTTTTAAGACCTGATTTGGATGCTCATCTGTTCTTTATGCTAAGACAAGTCACCTGAACTTTGTAAGGTTCGATCTTCGTATCTTGAAAAAAACATTTTGGAAGTTTCAAAGCACCATGCAAGTGAAACGACTTCTTTTATGCTCTGGCAATTGTTCTCTCCATCCCTTCCAGTCAGCTTTTTTTTTTTTTTTTTTAATCTTCTGTTTTGAGCAAATTTAGGTTCACAGCAAAATCGAACAGAAGTACAGAGAAATCCTGTACACCCCGGTCCCCAGATACACAGCCTTCCCCACTGTGACATCCCCCGCCAGAGTGGGACCTTTCTTACAGTTAGCCTCTTCTGACACACCAGTACCTCAAGTCCCCAGTGGTTTCTTTCTTTACCATCTCAGCAACATACAGGTGATTCTACTGCTTCAGATACCCAACTAACACAATCACCTATATACCACTGCTTCTGCGTTTGCTTCCTGACATCCTAGGCTTGACATAAGGATCCTGTATCACTGTACTCTGTGTGGTACTATACAATAACGTGCACAAGAGCACAGCCTCCTGTAGAGGCTGCACATATTTGACAGTATGCACCAGATATGTGAACTAATTATGTGATTAGACATTCGAATGTGTGCTCACATCTTTGAAAGTTTGCATCTTGAAGCTTTGTATGTAGGGGATTTGCTGTACATAGAAGTCACTGGAGATTGAAGTTACAGATGGAAAAAGCGATGGAAAGCACACTTTTCCATCCTGCTTAGATTAGCAGGAGGATGAGCAACTAAGACTTCTGGAGTCCATTTACTTGATGCTAGGGAGACACCCTGACACAGAGCCTCTGTTATCCATAAAGTCGACTGTGCTCCTGGGAAAGAGGAGTTGATCTGGTCACCAACCTACACTTCATCCTCTGTGTTGTGCATCAAAGACTTCAACCCTTCAAGCTTCTCTTGTTTGGGTCTATAATCTGAGGTCTTCCAGAACTTTTCCCATTATTGCCTTATCCTCACTGAGTGGACATTTTCTTTGAGCTGTGGAATCTAAAAATTAGCACAGGATTTTGGTAAGGGCGAGAGATGTACAAAGTACAATGGGAATTTTGCAGTATGGCTTTCATGTTTTCAAAAAAATCAATGGGTAAAGACAGCAAAGGAATTATGGGAGAAGGAGGATTCTAGATCCTTATTTCCCACCTTAGCATGTTCTCCTGTAGTTCATAATTGTTATGTGCCAGGCCATGTCTGAGGAACTGGGAACAGCATCAGTGGAACAGTGTCCAAGGGGTGGGCAGGGCTGAGCAGAGGTCTGTGCTGGAGTTGAAGAGAATTTCATCCCTGACATTGTCCAACGTTGTCAGTGCATGGTAAAAACAGAAAGAGATCCACTGAGTTGGTTTTATTATTGTTTAAACTCTCTGTAAAGAATTCACTCCCTTATTGTCTATCCCCACCCTTACCATACCTTTTCGGATACCTCGGATAGTGGCAGAAGCAAGACAGAATTCCTTTCATCCTGGTGCTTTTAGTCTGGGCAGCCTCTTCCTTCTTCCCGAGGCCTTTGTAACCAGACAATTTCCTGAAAGCTTGGTGTTTCTGTCTCTGTAAGCTTAAGTGAATAATCTCAGAGCAGGAATTGCAAATATTAGCCAAGTGCCTGTCTTCTTTCCCTTTATGCCTGTTGGCCACAGTGATGATTTTACGTTGAATAACAGCATTGGGAAAGATTAGGGAGAAATTAGATTTGGTTTCATCGAAGCAGATTTATAATTTTGAAAGTACGATAATAACAAAATAATGAGACATTTATTCTAGATGTCAGATGCCTAGGTACTACTGCCTAGGAAATTAACCAAGTCAGAGAAGGTAAGTAACAATATTCTGGTTTTGAAATAATTCTGTTATTCATTTTATGATTCATGTATGAGCTCAATAATGTTGTAAAAATGTATCACTTCAGTATTTTTCAGGAAAATCCAGGTTAGCTTAATAGAGAATTTTTAAAATTTTTCCTGTTTCTTCCCTTCTCTTTGTTTTTCTTTCTTTCTTTCTTTCTTTCTTTCTTTCTTTTTGAGAAAATACAATCATGGCTGTAGTTTTTCATGATATATTTATTGAGT